ACTACTACTAAAGGGCTAGTGCAGAGTACAGAAAAGTCCTTTTGTTTTGGCCTTTTCCACGCTCAATACTCCATCTGCAGCCTCAGTGCTTATCAGATCTGTGAAATGGCTCCCAGACGGCGTTGGGCGATTCTCTCCGAGGGGAAGGGTGCCATGTGTAACCCGTTGGCCCCCAGTGAGGCGAGGTCAAGCATGTAACCTGCCTCTCCAGAACAGCGGGACTCCAAGCTTCACAACTCACGTCCTGCAAATAAACAAACAAGAAATTGCGTCTAAAAAGGGTTCGGAACTCATAATTCATTAAAGGTGTTGCTTTTATTCCCCTCTGGAACTGCTTAGAGAGAGTGCAAAAAACTGCTCCGGCTGCAGTTTTATGTTGAATCTTTGCTAACCTTAGAGCCACATATGTAACATGAATGTGTGCTAATTTATACAACATGGACTTATTAGTGCTTCTTGTAAAATGGCAAGACCTATTGATCATTGGAGGCCGGTCATTTTTTTTTTTACATTCTATCATAATTGGCTCAAAAAGAAGAAAACAAAGAAGTTCAACAGTGAAACACAATTTAAGTATAATATAGGTCTAATTAAAAGAACAGTGGTGATGATCCAGAACACTCAAAATTCAACATTTATGGCATTGGTCATCTTTCCCTGATGAACCTATAGCATTGTGTTTGATTTTCTAATCCGTGTTGGCAAATTCTACTGTTGTGTAAAGTCCTCCGATTAACAACTGTTGTGATTTAGGGCTATACAAGAATATATTGGATTGAATGGAAGTTTAGATGGATTGTCTCACCACCAGAAGGTACTGGGCTCGAACCCCAGGACCTTCAGGCTCAAGTAATCCGTTCCCAGTACCTTCTGGTGGTGAGAACAATCCCATCTAAAACTTCCAGTCAATCCAATATATTCTTGTATAGCCCCTAAATCACACAAACAGTGGTAATAATATCGGAGGACTTTAACACAACAGTAAGAATTTGCCTACCACGGATTAGAAAATCAAACACCAATGCTATAGGTTCAAGCAGGGAAAGAATGAGCCCAATGCCATACAATGGTTGAATTTTGAGTGTTCTGGATCATCACCACAGTTCTACTTTTAAATTTGACCCTTATAATTATACTTAACAATTGTGTTTCCAACTGTTGAACTTCTTTGTTTTCCTTCTTTTTGAGCAAGTAGGAATCGAATGTAAAAAAAAAAATGACTCGGCCTCCAATGATCAATAGATCTTGGCCATTTTACAAGAAGCACCTAAGAAGTCCATGGTTGTATAAATTAGAGCACACATTCCATGTTACATATGTGGCGCTAAGGTTAGCACAAGATTCAACATAAAACTGCTCCGGCTGCAGTTTTATGTTGAATCTTTGCTAACCTTAGAGCCACATATGTAACATGAATGTGTGCTAATTTATACAACATGGACTTATTAGTGCTTCTTGTAAAATGGCAAGACCTATTGATCATTGGAGGCCGGTCATTTTTTTTTTTACATTCTATCATAATTGGCTCAAAAAGAAGAAAACAAAGAAGTTCAACAGTGAAACACAATTTAAGTATAATATAGGTCTAATTAAAAGAACAGTGGTGATGATCCAGAACACTCAAAATTCAACATTTATGGCATTGGTCATCTTTCCCTGATGAACCTATAGCATTGTGTTTGATTTTCTAATCCGTGTTGGCAAATTCTACTGTTGTGTAAAGTCCTCCGATTAACAACTGTTGTGATTTAGGGCTATACAAGAATATATTGGATTGAATGGAAGTTTAGATGGATTGTCTCACCACCAGAAGGTACTGGGAAGGTACTTGAGCCTGAAGGTCATGGGTTCGAGCCCACCGCAAGACCTTCTCCTCCGACTCCCACTGCTGTCTGCTGTTGTTGTGTCCTTGGGCAAGACACTTTACCCCACGCTGCATGCCTTGATGTGATACAGTATGTGTGCATGTGTATATGGCTATTCCTCAAACTTCTTCTTCTTCTTCTTCTTTATACAGTATAACAGGCCATTAATGACTGTGAGAGTCATATGATGCTTTTCTGTTTTGAGTTTATTTTTAATGTTTTTGTTTCGTGTCATACAAACCAGATATGATCAGTTTTAGATGTTCAGAAGGGAGTTTATAGTAACAATAGCTTATAGTGGCACGACTCCTCATTTACAAACATGTAACATATGTGAAAGCTACATATAAATATGTATGTGGAAACAAACAAGATAATGAAGATAATGCAATTTTTTACAAACAATTAATTATGTTATATTTATTATACATAAAAAAAAATTCTTAAGTCCTCATGGGCAAAAGTTTACTTCTTCTTTATGATATTCCACAAATATTAGGGTTTTTTTAAAGTTGGTTTTTGAAGTGAATGCTCTGACAAACGATTCCATATCTTGAATGAAAGAAACATTAAAACTTTTCATAGTTCTTACACAATTCTTTGTAAAGTTTCCTTTCATGTTGTAATTCCTATCTCTTTCAGGGAACGATGATGGAATGTAACCAGGAAGTAACAGATTTCTTGCATCGTGCTGTTAGCGTGATATTGGTAACTTTTAATATTACATAAACTGTTATTTTTGCCTTTTTCTGCAGAATTGTTAAAGGGTTGACATGTGTTTTGTTGAAAGAACACTATTATTATTATTATTATTTTTTTTTTTTTTTACAGTAGTTATTTATCACATTAAAATCATCACTCTTCCAGTGAGTGGGGTTTTCTTGTTTCTTACATAATTGAAGTTAAAAGCCAACATTCGAGGAAAAGCAACATCTCAAAAAGCCAAGCAGGTGTTGAACCTTTGCACCAGAAAAGTTGCAAAGTCTACCTTTAGTTCAACCTACTTCAACTGATCAATATGAGACTAACAAAAATATAATGACGTAAACCTCAACAACCTTCACACAGGTCTCCAAGGCACTCTTACTCCCCCTAGTGGAAAGCTACGTAAAATAAGTAAAAACTTGTTTGTAACGCAAATGACCACATGGACTTGTGCTAACTTGATGTAGATGATTTAATATATTTTTTATTATTGGTTCATTGTAATGTTTTCCCTGAGTGGTCGGTAATACATGTATTTTAGAATAACTTAGGGAAAGGTGTGTTTATTGGATTACAACAAAACAAAAATGGGCCACAGTAGCTCAGTTGGTAGAGCTTTGACCTTTGGGCCTGAATGTTGTGGGTTCAAGTCCACCATGAGACCTGCTCCCACTAATGTCTGCTTTCGTGTCCTTAGGCAAGACCATATTGCCTGAAGCTCCCGCTGAAACACCAGGGCTGTGGCACCACTGATGTAGCAGCCATCTTCCTGCGGACCCACCACCTGCAGAGGATCAGCGAGGGACTGGTGCTATGAGCATTGGGTGGCAGCTCTCATTGTCACCCCCCCGACCTAGAAATGGACTAATAAAGGGGTAGAAAATGAATGAACAAAACAAAAACATATTTATATCTCTTCTAAAGCAGTACAGTTTTGTTTGCTGTAAAGTCGGAGGAACTGTGCACAGATGTAACATTTTGAATCATCTCTATGACATAGATTTCAGCTCAAATACTATATATATAAGTGGGCGCACAATAAACCTAAATGTGTGCAATAAATCTTTGTGTGCGTGGGAATAAATCTACATAAGCGTGTGCATTACAATGAGATAAATGTGTGTACGTTTGTGCGTATAAATCTGTATTTGTTTGAGTAAAATCTTGATGACAGGCTGTGCTCTGACTTGTCTGCTTTGATCCTCCTCGCTCTATAAAGTTGTCCATGACCCAAGTGTAATTTAGTCATGCCTCAGTGAGATTTTCAAGCATGTGTTGGCCTGTTTAATACTGGAGATTTTCATGTATTACTGTAGCTATATGCTGCTGACAGATGTTTATGTACAGTAGTAAATACACGTTATATTTTACTGGGTAAAGGATAAAGAAGAGGAAGAGATTTGATAGGTCAGAAAAACAGAATTTTGCTGATTTTTAGATGCCTCCCCAAAGTCAATGTGCAAAGGCCTTAAGGCACAACACGAAGAGAGTGAATAGAAATAATTGCTGTTTGTGTTTTTAAATACATGAAATTCATATACAGCGACAATTTAAACACGTGTACAAGACTCAAACGACAAAAAAATTAATGTAAGCTAATACTTATTTTTATTCCGCATTTTACAGACCAAGGTCACCTAAAGCGCTTTGTAATTGTTCAGAGTAGAACAAAATAAGAAAGGGGACAAAAAAAAATCAAATAAGAATATAAACACAGACTTTTAAAGTACAGAGTAAGCTGAACAAACACACAAACTAATATGATGGACTGATGAATTGTTCAACTTAACTGCTGCACGGAACTATATCAAAAATATTTATTCACTTATAATATGTATTCCCATGTGCAGTTGTGCTTGACATAACAAACTACTAAAATGACCCTGATTTAAAGTTTTCTTCTAACAATTCTCATTGTGTATTTCCCTCATCCATGACAGCTTGGAGTCTTTTGTGATAATTGTGACTGATGTTACTCGGATACTCTCAAATATCAATTCTTCTTTGCAAAAAGCCTCCAGTTCTTGTAAAGTCCTGGAACACCTTGCATGAACTGCACATTTGAGATCCCCCCAAGAGGCTTATGTTATCATTTGAAAAAAAAAAAAAAACGATAACCATTTGAAAACATATGGCTTCACACAACCAATAATTATGAGTAAGGGGCTTTCATAATCACTAAAATATAATTAAAAAAATATATATGTCTGGGTGTGTAAAGGGTGTGTGTTTGTTGTCTGTATCGTATCACCTGATGATATTCCTTCAATGGTAAAACAGAATTCAAACCAAAAATAGTAATTTTTCATAATTCCCTGACTGTAAATATTAAAAATACATGTTCCATCCGTTATCATTATAGATCCATAAGTTCCATCCGTGTCGCATGTTTATGACGCACAGTGACGCTAAAAACATTGGCCTGTCAACATGGCCGCCTCCGTTGGGTTGTGTACGCGGAGGATCTTCCGGGTTTTTTATACAAATGTTTACCTTTCGGCCAGTGCAGTTTGGCCTGGGTCTGTCCACGGTCGAGCTCCACATACTACCCGCTCTCTGAGCCAAGAGGCCGGCGACAGGAGCACGCATTTCGGCTTCGAGACTGTGCAAGAGGAGGAGAAGGCGAAGAGAGGTGAGTGACGGAGCCAGCGCTTACACAAGGAAAGGGCATCTGTGGATGTTCCGAGGGAGGACAGTAAACACCTAAAACCACCACGTTGTTGATGTTATTGACCCCTAACGCAAATCTAGGATTGATTTTATATATATATATATATATATATATATATATATGTGTGTTTGTTCTTAAATTGGGTTTACTCAATTAAATTCATGGATTCAGATTCATTTTATTTGTCATTTGCAATAAAATCACATTGGAATACATTTGCAAAAGCCCCCAGAGTGCACAAGACAAGTACATAGTAAGGGTTAGGGTTGTTGGGTCCTGTTTGCACACCTAAATAATCTAACATTCATTGGTTATTACTGAGCTGTATCATCTGCTCTTGACAGACCAAAGTGTGTGGTGCAATGCGACACAATTCTGCTAATGTTAGATTCTGATACAATTCTGTTAAGTAGTAACTGTTAGTACTTGTAGTTCTGTATAGTAATCACTTTTTAACTGGATTCAAATAGCATACAAATTTTCTTTACGAGTTTATGTCTGAAATGGGTTGTCATTGTCATTTGATAATTTATATTTTTCCTCACTGTCATGCACTTACCCTTCCCAGTTTACCAGGTGTTCGAGAACGTTGCTCAGAAGTACGATGTGATGAACGATGCCATGAGTTTGGGCGTTCACCGACTGTGGAAGGACATTCTGCTGCACGCTATGAACCCACAGCCTGGGGCTCGGCTGCTGGATGTGGCTGGAGGCACAGGTACGCTACTATTAACATGAATCAATTATGCCACAGCTTTTTTTCAATCTTCTTTGTTCTTTATGCAGGTGATATTGCTTTCCGTTTTCTGGAATACATAAAGTCCCAGGAGGATAAGATGAGAAAGAGAGAGGCAAGATCTATGCAGACCCCCTCCTGGCAGGACATTTCTACAAATTATTTAAATGAACAAGGAGAAGAGCCTAAAGAATCCACAGCTGTGGTGTGTGACATCAACAAGGAGATGCTCAAAGTGGGCAAACAGAAAGCGGACAGCATGGGCATCGTTTCTGGTAAGAATCTTTCTTTATATAGAGAAATGTTTCTCATGGGGTCTGCTACCTGCTTGTTGCCAGGGTAACTCCGTATGGTATTAAACTTACAATATTGATTCAGATATTTTTACAGCCTGAATTCTTACATTGGGTCAGCTCGCCTCTTCAATAACTTAGTCAAGTGAAGTCATTTGCTTGTCTCTAATTTAGATAAAAGTGTAATGCCATAGTGTGGAACATTCAAAAAAATAAATTACGGATCAAAGAAAAATGTGCTTTGTCTGTTTTTGGATTTGTATATTTTACATATAATGTGTAGCCTGGCTCCGGCCGACATTTAGCCCCGCCTACATAAAACTTCAGCTGACTTTCCTACTGAAATGTTAGTTAGGCTGGGCTAAATGTCGGCTGGTGCCAGGCTATATAATGGGTATTCCCATGTTCAAAAAATACATGAATGTGAAAGCTAAAAATGGAATCCGACCCTTTGAGAGAACGGAATGGATTTTTTTCCCCCCAGGTTTTAAAGTGCACATTCAACTGGTTTCTCTTCATGGCCTTCATTAAATGCTATTTTCCCTCTGTTCAGGTCTGTCGTGGGTGGCAGGAGATGCTGAGGAGCTTCCCTTCGGTGATGATGAATTTGACATTTATACTATTGCTTTTGGGATTCGCAATGTCACTCACATAGAGCAGGTAAATTAGCAGACTTCAAGTATAATGATGTAGTAGAATGACACCAAATACTTGTTTTATATGATTCAGGCTTTACAAGAGGCTCATCGGGTCCTTAAACCTGGTGGAAGGTTTATGTGCCTGGAATTCAGCAAAGTGTCTAATCCCCTTTTATCAACGTAAGAAAAACTGTTTTTAATTTTATTTTGAATCCTACCATCACGTATATATCGCAAACAGTATCTGCAATTGAAATTTATCAAAAGGCAACACTGCCCTCTTCTGGACATTTACTTTGTGTTAAAATTCCCCCTTGGGTATAATTATTTATAAGTATTAATCAATACACATTAATGTCATACACAATAGAATTAACTTTATGCTATAAAGGAGCAAGACATGAAAGTTATTATTTCCTTGCATAGGATTTCCGGTGTCTCTTATTGACAATTTTTTTTAGATATTCCTAATGATATTTTTCTTCCCAAAAACTAGGATTTATGATACTTACAGTTTCCAAGTCATTCCTGTTTTGGGAGAAGTTATTGCTGGAGACTGGAAATCTTACCAGTACTTGGTAGAGAGCATCAGAAAGTTCCCGGACCAGGTACTCTATCCTGCACTATGGTCATTTAGATGTATTTGGTACCTAAATGTTCATATTTGTTCATATTTAACATCATAGTTAAAATAACATTGCATTACTATAACCAGGTATTTGTCGGTTTTATAGGAAGATTTCAAGGGTATGATTGAAGATGCTGGTTTCTACTGTGTGAGCTTCCACAACCTGACCGGAGGAATCGTCGCTCTTCACTCTGGCTTCAAGTTGTGAACATTTACATTTGTGAACAATGGCCTAAATCCTATTGGATCGACATCAAAACAGCAAACTCTCTTGTTTTAAAGTCCTATACTGACTGTGACATTGAACTAAAGGGTGTATGACTCACAACACTATTTCATGCAGAATATATAATGTCTAATTGATCTTCTACAATAATATATCTTGATGTTTGAAGTAAAAAGACAGCCACAACATGATTGAATAAAACTGTATATTTTACAGATCTTTGTACACTTTTGATTACAAAACTGTATGGTACTAAAATTTTAAAATCAGTTTTTTGGTCAGAAAGGATTTAATCGTCTTGTGTGCAATTACCATGTATATACAAAGTCTTATGTTAGTGATTTTTCTCAATGAAAAGCATCTCAAACGTCCATACACTCTGAACATAAGACATGGCTTAAAGATAAATATATTAGTAAATAAATATTCAGAGAACATATTTCCATTTATGAAATGTGTTGCTATACATGTACAGAAATATACACAGATTTCTAGCCTTTTTAAACATTTGTAATGACAGAAAATAATTATATTCTTAGAAAATTAAAAAATATTAATTTTGTACACTTTAATCTTTTTAAGTGCTAGAAACAATAACAAAAATTAAATAGTGACTCAAGTACCCCAAATGTTCTATTTGCAGTAGGTATATAACTATCCAAAAGGCAAGATTAGATTTTCACATGATTACAGCAATGGGTTAACTTAAATGTCATTTGAGAAGGCTCTCCTCTGTGAAGAGATGTGTATTTCATAGAAACAGTATAAACAGTCTTCAAGACAAACAAAGACATGAGTGACAGCATCGCCAGTCCACGTGAATAAGGTTCAAACAGATACATTGTAGTGTTTATGAACTGCATCAATACAAAGTCACAGTAAACCAGTATGAATCAGAAATGGTCTCCTTTGGCCTAGACATAAACCACTGCTTTAAATGCCTGGATGGAGCCTGGCTCCTCAAGGAGGACGTCTAGTGTCTGCAGCTTTAACATGTCTGGCCTCTGTCCCTCCTGCACCTTCTGCAGAGGGGACAGTGACTGTAGATGCAGCTGCTCATGGAGCACCAGCATAAGGCTTATGGTTCTTCTGGGGCATCTCTTACATTAGCATTAGCATTACATGATGATAGCTGATTTTATGATACTAAACAGAACAGTGTCAGCCTTGCATTCACATTACACTTTCTCCAAGACAATGTAGCTTCTCATTATAAACTGTGGGTCACAGAATGTAAACCCTTTCCCTGCGCTTTTAAAAACAAAAAAATGCCTGATTTGGTTCAGCTATGGCCATAGAACTGTGACATGTGGTTTATGATTTACAGGTTAGTGTAAACTATATATTTGTTTATGCAGATGTTTTTCATGACAATTTTCCTTTTGTTTTAATAAATATTGTTTAATAGACATTCTAGAAAATAAGAATTAATTACTATTTAACATTATGTTCATGACTGCAATTCAATTTAGTTTGGTGCTGTGGCCACAGGAATGAACAGACACACTAAATGTAGAAATGACAGGCCATTTCAGTAGAAATTCACACATCTAAGATGATAACATTCAGAGCTCAGAGAGCAACAAGGCAACTCCAGGTTTAAATGATTGACACAGAGGAAGAGTTCATATGTTCACTGCCCCCTCGCTGGCTGCAGTACTACTACCCGACGTACTTGGCGTGGCAGAGAGTGGAGGGTGGAACAGAGCCCGAGTCTCGTCCTCCTGAGAGCACGTCTGCCCCTGAGCCCTTGGTCCAGCTGTGTGCATACCCGCTCTGGGCTCAAGCTGCTCTCCTGTCCACACCTCTGCCTCTATTTTGACACTAGGTGGCAGCAAACTGCTTTGAGTTTCTGAAACAGAGCCCAGTTCACAGTCTGTGTCCTCTGGAATTATGGGTATTCTCTGGTTAAGTTCACAGCAGCCTTGTGCAGAGCAGGCGTCTGAGTCTGCGTGTGTGTACTGCACATTAACAGAGTAGTCCTCTGAGAAGTGTCCTGTCGCAGCTCTGTGAACCTTCATTTCTTTGTAGAAGCAGCGGGGCAGGCCTTCAAAGCCCGCCTGCTCTGTGGAGGGGCACAAGTGCTCTGTGTAGTAGTTTTTAGAGCTCTTAAAGTCTGTTCCTGCTCTGTGACAATGTACGGAGGCCAAGGCCCCTCCACGCTCTAAGTCCCCCCCTTTAACCTCCACATTAGGAGGCAACATGTCAAAGCAGCAGCTGCAGGCCGCCACCCCCTGCTCCCCTAACTCGTCCTGGACCTTGCCCCGCTCATGCTCCAGAGCAGAGGCTGAGGTAGTGCTAGTGTTGTCCCTGGGCTCCAGACTGCAGCTGGAGGTGTGGTCCCCCCCAGACAGGAGCTGATGGGGAGCAGGAGAAGAAGGGGCTTCATCTGCAGCAGTAGTGGTGCAGGTCCCTGCCTCAGCGGCCCCTCGACAGGGGCTTTTGCTGCGGTACACGTACGGGTCGTAGTCACTGCTCAAAGAGCTGCGGAAGGTGGAGCAGCTGCCAAACGCTGCCTGATTACTGGCGTCGCCACAGTCCAACATGGAGTCACTGGAGGAGCAGTGGCACTGCCCCGAACTGCTGCTGCTGCTGTCGCTGCCGGGGCAGTCGGCCAGGTACCCACTGCACATAGAGCGGTGACCGTGGTAACAGCTGAGCCCTGACGTACTGCCGCTCTCTGCTATCCGGGACGATGTGGTGGGGCCCATATGGACCACTGTGGGGTACAGCAGCCCCTGCTGAAAGGCTCTGCTGTGGAGTCCTTTGTGGGCCCCTCCCCCAGCCCCTGCTCCTGCAGGTCCTGGCACCCCGTCCTGCTGGGGAAAGGTAAGACCCTGAAAGTAATAGTGCTGGTACATCGTCTCGTACTGGGAGAAGCATGCCGCACGGGAAAAGGAGTTACGTCCATGGAACTTGGGTCGTTTGAAAGCAGTGTGATGAGGCTGAGCTCCGTACGGCGGGGGGCCGCGGTGCTCCAGTCCACAGTGGTGTGCCCCCAGAGAGTGCTCCAGGTGCAGAGCGGGGTGGTAGCTTCTCAGAAAGGTGGAGGTGGACTGAGGTGGGTACAGGCCTTGAGGGTCTGGATGCTGGTCCACTGTGAGCACAGTAATGGGGTTGCCATGAGGGTCCATGCTGGTTCTGGTGGGGTAGGCGGTCACCCCTCCAGCCCGGTGAACCCGTCCAGGATAATGAACGGGCAACACCACCCTCTGCTGCCTCCCGTGCATCGGGTTTCCTGGGTCCAAGCAGCCTGGGCCCGGGCCTCCTTTCTTTTGCTCTATAAAACATAAGTACATATTTAGAAACAGTTCTTTCTGATAAACACAAGAGGAGGGTTGTTGCCTCACCTATGATGTTGTGTCTGCAGTGGGGGCAGGTGTGATGCTGCAGCAGCCAGGGGTCCACACACTTCTTATGAAACCTGTGAGCACATGGAATCACCCGCAACTCCTGCAAACAGGAAAGATATTCACGTTAAAAATGTATAGCTAGTACTCCATTGCTCAATGCACTTTGCAATCCAAAGTTGGAAAGCACTAGAGGACCGACATGAAAGAATGCACTTTGTATTCAAATGGTGAGACTGGTATAAGAGTGTCAGGGCACACAAGAAGCTCTGTGAATATAAACTCAGTGCTGTGTGACTCATCTCTTTGCTCTTTTTTACCCACGCTTTTGTTGCCAGGTATAAGACTCAAAAACCGGCTTTGATGCCATTGAGCCTTTTATATCACCACTTCCTCTGTGAGTTGTGGCGCCACGCTTTGTTCTGTTCTTCTTGCCGTAAAGACACTTCCCCACCAAACAAGACAATACAACTCTTGGCCCAAATACGTCCTCTGGGCTTCAGTCCCTGCAGCATCTCCGAACCAGATTGTGTTCTGCATTTTCACCATTCCCCAAAGAGCGGTACAGATAGAATGATGGAGTCTGGATTAAAGGAGGCCAGTGGGAAAACAGGAAGCCCGATCACAAGCTGCGCTGTGTGGAAGCGTGATCCCTCCAGGTGCTCTCAAAGCCCGACTAAACATCTACAAGGTGGAGGAAACCACGTCAGCCCAGAGAAGCAGGCCTCTCACTCACATCAGGGGACTTCCATTCTATTGTCCACACATGCATTATGTTCCATGTTACAGACTGAGCTCCAAAATAAGAAAATAACCTGGAATTACTTAAAGTCGCAACTTTACTACAACAACAGGATATGAAAGAGAAATGTACTGGAAGAGTTTGAGTAGCAATGTGTCTGTGGGTGGTGGACGTGGATTGGACATGGATTATAAGGACAGGTGCCAAATTATAATGTCATTGAGCTGTAGGAAGTACTCAAACGTGTAGGTCATGCAAGTCAGCCCAGGAATGTACAGGTAGCTGCTGCTTTCTTTCTATCAGAGAGTATACAGCACCTCACCCACAACTACCACCAAAGACTCCAAGCTGTCAAATATGTAAAAGGGCAAATGCTTGCTTTTGAGAACTGAGGGATGGAAACTTCTAATCAGGGTCAAAAGAGTAGTGTTGAAAATAGAATGTTTACTTGACAATAAAGGCCTTCGCACAACCACTAACAATGAGTGAAACAAAGTTGAATGAAATAAGTCCACAAAATCGACAAACCAGTGTTTGTTTGGGTATATAAACGTATACCGTTATATAGTATATATCAGGAGTCGCCAACCTGTAACTTGGGAGCCACCAGTAGCTCGCCACCCCCTTCCAGGTAGCTCGCCAAATGATATAGAAAAGAGCAAATAAAATAATATACCTAATATTTAAAATGGTTTTATTCATTATCGTTATTTATCACCACATTTTTCCCAGGGCTGCTTAAAGGATTAGCTCGCTGCCTTTATCATCCCGGGAAAATAGCTCTCTGGGTGGAAAAAGGTTGGAGAAACCTAACATTATACTGTATATATTAGGGATGTAAATCGGCGACCGGTTAACCGGTGGTTGACCGTCACAGCGTTAACCGGTCAAAGCTGTCGGTTAAAAAAGAGAAAAAGGGGAGAGGGGAGGTCTCTTAATAACGCTATTTTAAGCCCTATTTGCACGGTGTGACGAGCGGGTCTGTATCTAGCTGTGTGCGCCCATGTATTATAAACTCCGGGACGACTCTCACGCCGCACGAGCCACATATGCACACACGCTCGCGCGCGCACACACACACACACACACTTTCCCCCTCTCCATACGTAACATCCACACGCATCATCTCTCCCCTCTGTTACCGTCAAAGTTGCACACTGGCGCGGGTCAGAACTACATTGGAGCTTACATTTACACACACACACACATACATACACACACACATACACACACACATACACACACACATACACACACACATACCGGTCTGTCGCGCTCCTCTGTGTCACGGAGCCCAAAGGATTCGCGCAAACACACGGCTCCAGTCAAACCACATGTTTGTGTTTATGGTCCTCGGGATCAGCTCCACACACATCACTTGTATTTAAACTTTTGTGAAGACCTGTGAGACGCGGCTCGTCACTCGCTGCTCTGACCATGTGAACGAGCCGTCGTTTGCTGCTAGAAAGTTCTGGTATTAACCCGCAGCAGAATGGGAAGATTAAAAAAGCAGTTCTCTGTGCGCAAAGGTGCCGGAGCTGTTGCGGGTTTGGGCGCCGCTGTCTCGGCTCTGATCCAGTAGAACGCAGAGCTGCTCTTATGAAAAGTACGCGGCTCGAAATGGCTGTTATTTCAAAGAACGTGGACTATTTTAAACTACGCGGTTAACCGGTTTCAACCGGTTAATGAGGCTCGGTGGTCGGTCATGAAAATTCATAGTTTTTTACATCCCTAGTATATATATATATACTATATCTGTGGCTATTCATCCATTCCATCCCAAAAGTCCCTGACACCGCCTCTCACACTCTGCATATGAAGGAGCCGTGTGCGTCTGACTAGTCCTCTGCATATGCATGAACATGTGTCCTCCTCATGTGTGGAGGCGTGTGGGGCTTCTCACCTCTCCGTCCATGTACTTTTCCAGGCAGATGGCGCAGTCCGAGGTGGAGCTGCTGCTCAGAGAGTCCGAGGCCCCACAGCTGCTCTCTCTCAGCACTTTCCCTTTGGCCTTGAACTTCCGCGTCTCCATCTTCTCCAGAGCCTGGATGGCCATTCTGTTCATGGAGCTCTGAGGAGACAGGGAGGACTGTCAAGGGGACTGTGAACCCAGACCAAGGAACAAAGCCTATCGCTAAAAACTATAAGAAACTTTGAAGACTAATGTGGAGGAGTCATAGGTTTGTTGTTGTTTAGAGAGAGCTGCAACAATGTGTACTACAAGAGATAAAATATATAAAAGATTTTGACTTGGATTGGACAACTTACTTTCAAGAAATTTCAAGAGAAAAACAAAAACTTGTATATATTGTTTTGCTGGAAATATTTATTTAATAATAGAATGAATCATATCAATATTATTAATTTGTAAAGGAACAGTTTGGACACTCACTAAATCAAAGTGACACTCAATTAACATAAGTAAAAAAAAAATGTTTGGATCAAGTAAGAAATATCTTAATTGGCAAATGTAAAATGTACTCATTTCAACATACACAACACATGTATATCCTTATACTTTATCGTTTTTGCCGTCTTTCTGTTTTCATATTTTTTTTTTCAATCCATATTTGGTTCAATTTGTTTCCTTTGCTGTCCAAAAAAATCCCCCAAAAATGTGTATGTATGAGATTGTATATGTCAAAAGTTCATGTTATATTAGAAAAGTTTGCAGCTTTGGCTTGCAAAATCACAATGTTACACCAGTGGCCCTCTTAAACCAAGATCATTTTAGTAGTAGTAGTAGTAGTAGTAGTAGTAGTAGTTTCTTTTCTTTGGCCAATATGTACACCAGATCTCAGGTCACATGGTTACAGAGATCACATGTTCTTTTATCAACAAGAAAAAAAAAGAACCAAAATGTGTCCATAAAGAACCTTGTGCTAAACAATGCCTCTCGGTTTAGCACAAACCTTAACAACTGTGCAACAAATAAAACATGAAACAAGACACACACACATGATGATCTCATTTTGTCTAATACTAATAATGATGAAATGCACCAACTTTCCTACAGTTTCAAATGATGTGTGTTTTTCTTTTTACAGCCACGTGGAGCAAATCTCAAACACCTGCACACGGCATCGACCCACAGTCTACTCATCCATATTTCAGATGTGTGTGATGAGCTCCTGGTGCGATCTGCTCTCGTAATTACCCACAGAAGGAAGTGAGTGGCAGCGTGGCACCCGTCTCCTCCTCAGAGCACCCATGGGACACCTCTCCAGGCAGGTCTAAGCGGTGTCACGACTTCTGAATGCTTAATGCCCATCAGAGTTAATTAAATGGTAATCCGGATTCATGCTGAGAGTGCTTAAGCTTCCACTCCAGACACATTTGTCAACACAGGCCGATAGTAGCTCCCCCTGGTTCACGAATTAACCGGGCGGCAAAATGACCATCAGGTTGGTTTGTTTCCGACTGTATTAAGAAATGTGGAGAGAATATTGAGAGAGAGGAGAGGTCGGTATGGGTTTGCTGTGGCTGATGCTGAGTTTGACTGGGTGAGTCTTAATAACCAATTTTAAAGGATTTTTTTTATTCTTTACATAGAAAATCAATAAACAGGGGATAGTTTTTTTTGGAGGTTTTTTTTGGAGGTTACATAAGCCCAATTGGTCTTTAATTATACTGTAAATTGTACATAAAGCTGTATCGATATATTTGTAAGTACTGTATATCAACATGAGGTGAATGCTGTTGATAATGTATGTGTCTGTATATATCTGAGCATGTCTGTACTGTATTTATCTATGCATACTATGTACAGTAGGCAAAAATATGATGAATGTATGAATGTGAATATTTTTGCTCAAATTAAATATGAAATTAATGAATGCCTTCATGAATATTGATGGAAACAATAAATACAGTGTTTTATTTGTGGAAATATTGTTTATGCTTTGGCATCTGTGGTTATTATTAACTTGATTAATAAAGTTTTTACATGGTGGAGATATTAAAAAAAAAAAAAAAAAAATCCTTTATTGACTACCAGACACCAGATATTATTTTTACTAAATTAGTAGTTTCTTTTGAACTGAAACAGAGCAGGACAACAGGTAAAGATGGTGAGTACTGTAGACTAATTTTACAGATATTTTTGTCATGAATTATAACTCATTGCTTTTTTTGTTCATTATTTAGAGTAAAATGGCTTTCTGGCTGAGAAAATTTGTTTTAATAAGAGGTATAACATAACATAGTAGCATAAGAAATTAAGGTCAATGGGCAATTATACCTCTGCCCAATAGATTGAATGGAGAGAATGTAAACAATATTCAGAAGAGAGAATTTCCAAAACCATATAAAATAAACTTTACATTTGAGCCATGTTATGCCCCTGGGTCACAGTTTGGACAGGCCTGGTCTACACGCTGTGAGGGGTTTCCGTGTCTCACCTGGCTCCTCCGCTGCTTCAGTTTGATCTTGATGAGCAGAACAAGGCAGACGAGCGACACGACCACGAAGAAGGCCAAGAAGATCCCCATGTCGAAGTACTCAGTAGGCTGCTGCGAGAGAGACAAACGTGCGTCAAATATATGGATGGAAGTAATATAAAACTTTTTGTGAAAATATAAAACATATTCACAAGCAATACATGAATGTGTTTGTACATATCTGAAAGGATGGAAATAACAACTGTGAACTATTAAGTGATTCAAACACAACAATTATTTCTAGGTGGGTTTGACTCCTGGGCTATTCGAGGCAGTTCTGTGTGGAGTTTGCTTGTTCTCCTTGTGTCGAGAACGGTGATGGTGAAAGAGGGTGGTTGGGAAGGTCACCAAATAGATTGTGACCTTGGTCTGTGAAATGCACTATATACATAAATATGACTCACTGTTGTTGTATTGTTGCTGTCCTTGACCTGTTTTTGTGTGTGTGTGTGTGTGTGTGTGTGTGTGTGTGTGTGTGTGTGTGTGTGCCTTGCCTTGCCTGCATTATTATTTTCCCGGTTTCCTATTTTAATGTTATTTCAATTGAACCGATTATACCTTAGAATTCTTGATACACAGACAAGGACCCTTGCCATTGTCTCAACTATTCTCCTCCTCACTGGTGGTGGTCATGACAACAAGGGGGACTGTATCAAATATACTGTTTTTGAAAACTATCTACTTTAAGTGATAGTGATACTATATAGTCATATTGTTTAAATAATATATATTTTTATATAAAATGAGTGAATAATAAACATATACACACCACGTAACCTCAACACGCTGATTTACAAAGCACGTGAGATGTGGTGGCAGTAACCGTCATGCACTTCATTTAGCGTTGATAAAATTAGCCGTTTTATAATCAAAACCCAAACCTTGCATGTCTTTCACAAATTTGTTTTTCCCTGCCTCATAAATTGCTCAATCCTGCAACACTCCAGCCTTGTTTATTGACACGCTCAAACCAAATCAAAAGAGGCTGATTGATTTAAAGAGTCGTGACATTTATTAGACACAGAAAGAGGCGATTGTCAGGTTTGAGAGGTCTATTATCACACTCCAGCTCTCTCTCGCTATCTGAGCTGGTGGTGCATGCAGTTTCCTTATCAAATATTCCAAGCAAACAAACAGGTCTTTGAATGACCGATATACATCTGCAGCAGCGCCGTGCTAATGTCTTAAGCCCGAGGGCAGTGGCCGACTACAAAGGGAGCTCTCACATTTCACTGCTGGAATTTGGGTTTGTCTTCACATCTGAGGAGCGTTTGAAATTATCCCCAAGCCTTAACCCACTGCTAATTCTGACAACACTTTTTAATATTGGACAGAACGGTTTTGTCCAATATTTTTAAAAATGAATTTAATCCCTTTTTTAAATCCCAACTCAAGCATTCACCTCTTTTTAACCAAATGTGCAGTGTCTAGTTTAATTATCGCGCCAGTGGTTGGTTGTTAGGTTAATTGAGACTAAAAAACACTAAAAATGTGTAGTTTCATTAATATTTTTTTCTTTTTGAGGAGTTGGCATAGAATTTTCTCACTTTTTATGTTGAGTTTTTGTATTTATTATTGCTATAGAAAGGAAAATACATACATCTTTTGTATATCATTACTTTGGTGTTCCTCAAATACACATTTCTAAATAGTTTTGTTTTGTAGCTATTATGTCAACAAAATGAAGGGCAAAAAACCTGGCATAGTTTTAATAGAGCGACTGAAGTGGACGGATTGAGCTAAAATTGGGAGTGTATAATTGTGGTATGGACATGATGGTAAAAAGACCCCATTGACATTTTGAGAGGGGTATGTGCTCTCCAAGTGTATGTTCTAGTTCATGGATGGTGTCTTTGTTGTTTTCCCCAGAAAATATTGTGTACAAATAATGTGGTGGACATAGCGGATTTCCATGTATCCCCATGGTAACGGTTCCCAAGCACAATCTCTTTTTACACAAACGTTTCTACAGACAAAGTTTTAAAATAAAGCTGGGGTACCCAATTTTCAAAGCACAACACATGTATGTACTAAAATCCATGTAACTAGTTCCTCATTCTCAAAACAGTTTGATTTCAACAGGCATATATCAATATTTATTTTTATTTAGATGAGAATTTGCAGGGACCACCCTCACTCAGCCAATCAGCTCTTAGCCCAAAGTGTCAAATAGTGACTCACAGGGCTCTTTCTTACAAATATGCAAACACTAACAGAGGAAAACATCTGTCGTGGTCGGATTTCTTCAACAACATTCTACTTTTACAAGAGTCTTTCAGCTGGAGAGGTTCCGTAGGTCTTTCTTTCCTGCTGCTGTCAGACTGTACAATGAGAACTACTGAGCCTGTACATATCATTCATCTGTAAATAAGTAAATACTAAAATCATGCTCAACGTGCAATACTGCAACTTCAGAATGTCGCTTTACTTGATCTACTTTTTATCCTGGCCTATATGTACAGTATACAACTCTGCACTATTACATATATATATTATTTTTTTTTTTGACTGGTATTGAAGCATTTACAGCATTTACAGCTAGTTAAGAAACATGGCTACTACTTATTTTGTATATTTTTGAGTGCTCCCTGTCTGCTCATACTACAGTCCCGTATGTGCGCTGCAACATTGAAATTTCCCCACTGTGGGACGAATAAAGGACCTCTAATCTTATCGTATTATTAGTAGGGGAAAAAGTAAGGACCCCAGCTTTAATATCAGTGTGCTTCCCATTCTTCTCAAGTAAACCTTAGATTATTTTAATTTTTTTTGTAACCTCAGAAAAACCAGAAGGCGGTCTTACCCTGGGCGGCCGGTGCTGGATGCGAGCGCGGGCCACTTTCTGTTTGTTGACGATGTTCATAAGCTTGATGGCGTCGTTCCCCTTCACGTAGACCACGGGCCGCTTCAGAGGGTCCTCCGCCAACTGGTTCAACTGCACACAACAACAGGGACGTTCAGCGACCCTCTAACACACACACATATATTACACTTTTGATTGATGAAGTTGTGAGACAAATAGTATTGCAGTACACAATACCATAACAAAGCAGCTATAGTATAGTCTACCTCAGGGGTCGGCAACCCGTGGCTCCGGAGCCGCATGCGGCTCTTGAGTGCTGCTGGAGTGGCTCCTGGAGCCTTTTCAAACATGTCTGAAAATGGAGTGTGAGGGCAATATTTTATTTCTAGTTTGAATGTGGTTTCTGTAGGAGGAAAAACAATCTTTACGTTTTTAAATGGTGTAAAAATGTGTATAAATAATATTTAATTTCAACATTTCTGTCAACGTAGTGCGTCATATCCTATGACGCGCGGTCACGCAGCCCCGCCCCATGCGGCCGCTGCTGTAAACAAACCGGCGTGTGTGCATCATAGACTGTAAGTGCACATGCAATCCCGAAGCTAAAACGTAAAGAGTCGATAACAAGACTGGACTAAGAATGAGAATGAACATTTTCTTTCAGTCAATGAGGAAGGACTGCTTCATGTTTGTAATGAAAAGTTTTGTTGCAACACGAGAAACAATGACGCGCAAAACGACGTAAACGGTGATTACGTGAAGGATTCATCAAAAATTCAGAGCACCTATTTTCAGACTTCAAAACCTTCTCAAAGACTGTGAAAGAAAAGGCCATTAAGGATTTTAATTCAGCTCCAGCAAACTTCAGCCTGTGACGTGATGGATATGAGCAGACAGTGATGCAGGTATGTGACCTCTGAGCCCAAAGCAGATTGATTTACTGTATTTCTACAATTGCATGAAGGCAAAAAAATGGAAGTTAAACTAAAGCAGAGTCGTCACGTGTTGCGTCATTCACGACACGCTGCAGTGAAAACACACATTTGATAATCATGAATGATTATTATGTATTTGTAGCCTTTACTTTGTCATTTAGATATTAGGCTAATATAGCTAATACATCTTGCAGCCTGTGTTAAAGCAGCAGTAAGCGATTTTTGGGTGTTAATATACGTCTTAAATATTGATATATTCCAATAGCCATCACTTATATAGAGTGTTTGTACCTAAACACGGATCTCTCAGTCCTTCCAGTCTTCTCCCACATATTTAATAAAAAAACCTCACATCCTATGCGCTTATCCAATGACGAGAGAGCACGCCTTATAAGGGGTTTCTCCCGTGTGTGCACGCGCACTCTTCAAAACAAACATGGCGGAGAAGGAAAAGCCGCCTCCAGCGCTGCTGCAGACGAAATACCATGGATCTATTAAATACAGGCAAAACGCCAGAAACAGAGGAACGACAAAAAGTAGGAGCAACATGGTGACCAGCTGCATTCATGTTGGCGACCTCTAGCTCCGTGGATTCCTCTCTCCGACTGAACAGGTGAGCATGTTACTCAGTAGTGGCAGTAGTAGTTGTATTATTTATACATATTTTTGCCTGAGATAGACTGTAATGCGGGTTTTCACCAAGTTAGCTTGTTAAAAATCCCCAGCTGTTGTAGAAATACGGCCGCATTTTGTGGCAATAACTGCGCATTACCTTGGCTTATCTTTGAGAAACAACAACAGACAACACAACATCGAAGCCTTATCCCGGCCTCAGTCATCCATAAACTCCGGTCAATTATTAGTTCCCCACATGTACAACATTAAATGACCATATCACCAGAGTTCCCCCGTGAAGTGGTGTTAGCATTAGCATTAGCTGTTAGCATTAGCTGTCTGTAGTTGTGAATATGATGTGGCTGCTACGAACACTTCTGATCTGTATGAATCGTTTGTTTTTGCCAATAAACATAGTTGCTTGCACTATATATATGTAGGTCTGCATTTCATTCTTCAATGACTAAGTTTTTCAACTTGCACTCTGTATATTAGTTTTATTGTTATAAAAACAATATCTCTTTACCTGAAATCTAACTTCCGTGACCACTACATACATTTTTATTATTATGTATTGAGAATAAGTAAGAGTCTTGCTGACTACTACCAAATAAATTATGAGCATGATATAATATAGACATTGTAATAATTTACATGTCTTCATTGCATTCTTTTCTCTGTATCTTTTCCAGTATGGCCTAAATCAATTGGAATGAGGTCTTCAATGTACAAGAGTTCAAAAGCCTCCATAATGCAAGTTAAATAACTATTAAAAAAAAAACAATGCCATAACGACTAGATACTTTTCTGCTGACCTCTTCTTTCTCTAGTATTGACTGGGAAGACAAGACTTTGCTTCCAGAATTAGAAGATCGGCCATTGTCATCTCCTGAGGAAGACTTTACACCCCACATTTGTCATGTAGGTTGTTGTGAATGCATATATGGGACGCAGTGATTATGATGATAATGATGTTGTGATGTGTGTGTCGTTCATCCCTACAGTTGTGTTGCTGCCCTGAGGTCCAAAATGAATATCCATCATGTTCCAGGAGTCAGTGTTGACAAAACTGTCGCTGAGTTTCTTCAACAATCAAGAGGAGTGAGATAATCACTCGACTCCCAAAACAGCCGATGTAAGTGTCTTTCTCTCACAATGCAGTCTCTCACAGTCCAAATAAACATGTTCAAGGATCCTGTGGATCAGGGGCCACTCCTGGTGATCAATAAATACTGATGTTATTGATGATGAATATATCAGTCATATTTGAGTAGATAAAACTGATGTCTCCTCTATTGTGTTTCAAAGGAACATCTCTGCCAGAGGAAGACTCCAGTTCCTTCAACCTGGGCCCCTGAAGCGTGGCTGTGTGTGCGTGTGACTGTGTGTGCGTGTGGCTGTGTGTGCGTGTGGCTGTGTGTGCGTGTGGCTGTGTGTGCTTGTGACTGTGTGTGACTGTGTGGCTGTGTGTGCGTGTGTGCTTGTGTGCTTGTGGCTGTGTGTGACTGTGACTGTGTGGCTGTGTGTGTGTGTGTGCTTGTGTGCTTGTGTGCTTGTGGCTGTGTGTGCTTGTGGCTGTGTGTGCTTGTGGCTGTGTGTGCTTGTGACTGTGTGTGACTGTGCTTGTGACTGTGTGTGACTGTGCTTGTGACTGTGTGTGACTGTGCTTGTGACTGTGTGTGACTGTGCTTGTGGCTGTGTGTGCTTGTGACTGTGTGTGCTTGTGTGTGCTTGTGACTGTGTGTGCTTGTGTGTGCTGTGGCTGTGTGTGCTTGTGGCTGTGTGTGCTTGTGTGTGCTTGTGGCTGTGTGTGCTTGTGGCTGTGTGTGCGTGGCTGCTTATGAATTATTTTGAGGAAATGTGTTCAAACAAGCTACAACATAAAGATTAACATTTTGTTAGATATCTCTGATAGTGTTCGCTGCAGCAGCGATGGATAAGGACCTGGATAATAACAGTGTTATTCATTTGAGCAAAAAGTGATAACACAAACGTTGCCTTACCATCACTTGTAATTATTTGTCTTAGTAGGGACATTGTGTATATTTTTCCGGCTATAACTTCAAATCTTCTTTTACATAATAAAGTTTCTTAGACTCGTTACAGACTGTATTTGTTTTCCTACTATAAAACAAAGCACATTGAAAGAGGTGAATGTATTTTTTTTTATTTTGAAATAGTACAACTACAAACATATTTCAGAACTGCAGAGTGGACGTGCACCATGGGGGCCACTGAGGACGTGCACCATGGGGGCCGCTGAGGACGTGCACCATGGGGGCCGCTGAGGACGTGCACCATGGGGGCCGCTGAGGACGTGCACCATGGGGGCCGCTGAGGAAAGCACGTTTTCAATGTCTGTTGGCACCTTTCACAGACGCACCAGGGAAAGGTCTGGGAGGATCTGGTCATCAGCTTCTCTGGACAGAGGGCGTTCAGTGCTTCCTGAAAGAACCGTTATGACAAATGACTTTATATATTCTGTTACTTGTAGCTTTTCTTTCAAAGTGGTGAGTTTCCTTACAGTGTAATAGTGTAACGTAATTAGTTATGACAGTACTTTTGCGTTTCGGACAAGCTTTACTGGAATTGTTTTTCAGTCCCACATCTCACTGTACAGCTCTGATACACTTTGATTTTGTCTTCATTCTCTGAACAATAAGCACATAATACAGATGTTGATTACATCAATAAATTTATCTTTATTTTGTGACATTGAGAAGGTAGCTTCCAGTGAGATGCAGCTTTACTTTCACATAATACATTACTACAGTGTTGTCTATAAAGAACTCCAAATATACAAATTGTGAGGAAAGCAGTAATGTATTACTTTAAATAACTTTCATGTAAAGCTTTGTTGTTGTAATGTATATGCATTACATTCATCTAATACATATGCACTGTAACAGATGTTACAGTGCATAATGTTGAGACACGTCACACTGCAATCTGCAACATTATGTTTATCACAACAGTTATCAGTGTACCAACTATAAAAGCAGTATTATTCTATAAAAGACTGGATTGTTTTTATCTCTTTCTTAGTGATGCTATCCTAGCTAACACCAAGCTGCTTCCAGTGTTATAGCTAGGTTACAACTGAGCTATTCTATGCTAATATTTCACTCCCAGAGTTTGTTGTTAATATACTTACGAGTAGACCCGACGGAGATGAACATGCTGCTGCCATCACCAAGACGATGCGCGTTCATGTGGTGTGACGAGGGGACGGGGGCGGGGCTACTAACTCGCTCAGGCAGAAGAAACTGCCGGAAACGACCAAATCGCTTACTGCTGCTTTAACTTCATAACAGCCTTATACAAGGCTGTTATTTTTTTGCGGCTCCAGACAGATGTTGTTTTTATTTTTTTTGTCAATTATGGCTCTTTGAACATTTTGGGTTCCCGACCCCTGGTCTACCTGAATCGAATTGAATATTCAAGTAAATGTATTTTTGTATAGCCCTAAATCACAACAGCAGCCGTCTCAAAGGACTTTACAAAGTTGTCGATTCGCCAACGACACATTAGAAAATCAAACAGATAGAACACAGGAAATACATTAATAACAAACACATGAGT